AAGAAGAAGAAGAAGAAGAAGAAGAAGAAGAAGAAGAAGAAGAAGAAGAAGAAGAAGAAGAAGAAGTCACGTATATATTTATAAATTAAACAAACAAAGGATTCATAATTCGGTCTATCTCTATCGTTCATTTAGGCTCTCGGACTCGCAACCGTAAGGTCGTGGGTTTGAATCCCGTCTGGGGCCCGACGTTGTGTCCTTGGGAAAGGCACTTTACACGAATTTTCCTCACTTCACCTAGGTGGGAACAGATATCCGGCTATAGACAGCGAAAGATATTGTCAGTTTGTTAGTGTTTGAGCGCTTAATCAGCTGTTTGCACCGTATGCTTCCCGGGAAGCTGAGAATGTTTCGGAGTGTTCTGTGGTCTGCTGGGGTAATAATACAGTGTAAAGCGCATAGAGCCTGCTGTTGAGCGAGGATATGCGCTATACAAATGCTATTTATTATTATTTATAGCACACATTTAGGTTTATTTATGTATTCCCCAATCAAATAGCCTATGGGGTATTGTGTATGTATGTGTGTTACTTGATTAGATACCAGTAGCAAAATGAAAATCCTTAACAAACAAACAAACTAACTAACTAACAAATAAACAAAAAAGCTCAGTAAAATGCTGGAAAATCAAAACTTTATATTCCAGAAAGACCTATAAATTATAGACGGAGCGAGGGACATGCAGCGTGACAGAGCTAAGTATGGACGCTCAAGGTTTCAGAGTGGTCACACGAAGCCTACGTTCATTTACGTGTGTGACGTCTCCAACGCAACATCCAGTGACATTACAACCTCTTTGTGGGTGACGCATTTAAAACAGTCGTGCATAGCAGTAGGGAGGTGCTGTTCTTTATCGTTTGTTTGTTTTTATCTTAAAATTTTTTTTCCAATATAATATTATTTCTTAAATGTTTAATTTCTTTTGTTTTTACTTTTTGTGTGTGGGCGATTAAAGCTTAATATGGGTGTTCGCAAGGCGAAAAGAAGAAAATCAAGTTAAATCAAATTTTAAAAGTTTGAGGTGGGAAGTTGTTACTTAAGAAAAGCAGGCACGACGTTATGATATCATGGCCATGCTGAACGAACTTATTTTGTTATTTGTAATCATGGGCAGTGCAAGGTGAAGACCAAAGACGCCCCCCACCCCCACCCTCCCTTTTTGATCCTCTGCCATTTCTCCCGAATAACTACAGTTCACAATAAATAGATTCACGTTTTCCATTTTCAATAAAAAACCTTTACAATATATGTCCAACATCGCGCCTAATGCAAAAGCTCTTTAGTGACGAAACTAAAATAATATAGATTTTGATAACGCCAGGTGGAATCTGGCTCTGGACTTGGGTTAAGGGTGAGGCGTACATATTGATTCTGACTGAAAGGTGTGTTCTTTGTTTTAATATTACACCATAACATATCTATACATTCAGTGCGTCTTGATAACCTGAACCCAGATGGATAACGTAGTTTAATGTATCCACCCTGGGTCTTTGTAAAGTGGATTGTGGCATTTATGAAGCTTATAATGGTTCACAGTACAGTGACAACAAAATAGCGTTGAGCTGGATAGAGTGTTCGTGTTGCATGAATATCAATATTAACATTTTTATGATAATGTGTAGTCTTGAAATCTGAATGGAGTATCAAACAACGGGCCAAAACAGTTACATAATATTTTGTTGTAAAACAGGATAAGAAATTGAACTTACCAGAGAAAAAATCCCCAGACACACACACACACACACACACACACACACACACACACACATGTACACACACACACACACACACACACACACACACACACACACACATACATATATATACACACACTGTTTTGGTATATCATATACATATATATGTGTTTTCGAAGGACAAGGAAGAAAATCATGGGTGTGTTGCCTTTCTACCAAATAAACTAAAATTAGAAAATGTCACAGGAAAATTTGCCTTGTCTCTGCCCACTGCATTGTTGACGAATTATAGAGCAAACGTCCCGTTCTAATGTTCTCCTGGTGCTATATGTATACAGTGGTAACAGGTATAGAACTCCAGTTGTCACCAATATATCCATTATATAAT